GTCTGAGTCCTGGATCTACGGCCTCAGTCCTCGTTCTACAGTCTGAGTCCTGGATCTACAGCCTCAGTCCTCGTTCTACAGTCTGAGTCCTGGATCTACGGCTTCAGTCCTCGTTCTACAGTCTGAGTCCTGGGTCTACAGGCTTAGTCCTCGTTCTACAGTCTGAGTCCTGGATCTACAGGCTCAGTCCTCGTTCTACAGTCTGAGTCCTGGGTCTACGGCCTCAGTCCTCGTTCTACAGTCTGAGTCCTGGATCTACGGCCTCAGTCCTCGTTCTACAGTCTGAGTCCTGGATCTACAGCCTCAGTCCTCGTTCTACAGTCTGAGTCCTGGATCTACGGCTTCAGTCCTCGTTCTACAGTCTGAGTCCTGGGTCTACAGGCTTAGTCCTCGTTCTACAGTCTGAGTCCTGGATCTACAGGCTCAGTCCTCGTTCTACAGTCTGAGTCCTGGGTCTACGGCCTCAGTCCTCGTTCTACAGTCTGAGTCCTGGATCTACGGCCTCAGTCCTCGTTCTACAGTCTGAGTCCTGGATCTACAGCCTCAGTCCTCGTTCTACAGTCTGAGTCCTGGATCTACGGCTTCAGTCCTCGTTCTACAGTCTGAGTCCTGGGTCTACAGGCTTAGTCCTCGTTCTACAGTCTGAGTCCTGGGTCTACGGCCTCAGTCCTCGTTCTACAGTCTGAGTCCTGGATCTACGGCCTCAGTCCTCGTTCTACAGTCTGAGTCCTGGATCTACAGCCTCAGTCCTCGTTCTACAGTCTGAGTCCTGGATCTACGGCTTCAGTCCTCGTTCTACAGTCTGAGTCCTGGGTCTACAGGCTTAGTCCTCGTTCTACAGTCTGACTCCTGGATCTACAGCCTCAGTCCTCGTTCTACAGTCTGAGTCCTGGGTCTACGGCCTCAGTCCTCGTTCTACAGTCTGAGTCCTGGATCTACAGCCTCAGTCCTCGTTCTACAGTCTGAGTCCTGGGTCTACGGCCTCAGTCCTCGTTCTACAGTCTGAGTCCTGGATCTACGGCCTCAGTCCTCGTTCTACAGTCTGAGTCCTGGATCTACAGCCTCAGTCCTCGTTCTACAGTCTGAGTCCTGGATCTACGGCTTCAGTCCTCGTTCTACAGTCTGAGTCCTGGGTCTACAGGCTTAGTCCTCATTCTACAGTCTGAGTCCTGGGTCTACGGCCTCAGTCCTCGTTCTACAGTCTGAGTCCTGGATCTACGGCCTCAGTCCTCGTTCTACAGTCTGAGTCCTGGATCTACAGCCTCAGTCCTCGTTCTACAGTCTGAGTCCTGGATCTACGGCTTCAGTCCTCGTTCTACAGTCTGAGTCCTGGGTCTACAGGCTTAGTCCTCGTTCTACAGTCTGAGTCCTGGGTCTACAGGCTTAGTCCTCGTTCTACAGTCTGAGTCCTGGATCTACAGGCTCAGTCCCCGTTCTACAGTCTGAGTCCTGGGTCTACGGCCTCAGTCCTCGTTCTACAGTCTGAGTCCTGGATCTACAGCCTCAGTCCTCGTTCTACAGTCTGAGTCCTGGATCTACGGCTTCAGTCCTCGTTCTACAGTCTGAGTCCTGGGTCTACAGGCTTAGTCCTCGTTCTACAGTCTGAGTCCTGGGTCTACGGCCTCAGTCCTCGTTCTACAGTCTGAGTCCTGGATCTACGGCCTCAGTCCTCGTTCTACAGTCTGAGTCCTGGATCTACAGCCTCAGTCCTCGTTCTACAGTCTGAGTCCTGGATCTACAGCCTCAGTCCTCGTTCTACAGTCTGAGTCCTGGATCTACGGCCTCAGTCCTCGTTCTACAGTCTGAGTCCTGGATCTACAGCCTCAGTCCTCGTTCTACAGTCTGAGTCCTGGATCTACGGCATCAGTCCTCGTTCTACAGTCTGAGTCCTGGATCTACAGCCTCAGTCCTCGTTCTACAGTCTGAGTCCTGGATCTACAGCCTCAGTCCTCGTTCTACAGTCTGAGTCCTGGATCTACGGCCTCAGTCCTCGTTCTACAGTCTGAGTCCTGGATCTACAGCCTCAGTCCTCGTTCTACAGTCTGAGTCCTGGGTCTACAGCCTCAGTCCTCGTTCTACAGTCTGAGTCCTGGATCTACAGCCTCAGTCCTCGTTCTACAGTCTGAGTCCTGGATCTACGGCCTCAGTCCTCGTTCTACGGCCTCAGTCCTCGTTCTACAGTCTGAGTCCTGGTTTTGTTAAGTCTTTGAGATGATACTGTTGTGATATGGGCTATACATGAAAAAAGGGAATTGAATTGAATTACGCGAGACACAAAAATAAATGAATTGGTCGTTAACAAGATGAAAAAACGAGGATACAGTTCAAGCAAATTAAACCAGCCTTGAAAGATCCAAGTCCTAAACCTGGGCCCTCACATATAACCCTCTCATGTGTGAATCTTTTGGCCGGAGAAATACTAGTCCCCTTCATGAATAAAAGCTTTCAGGCCAGTGTGACGCCATGGAACCTCCCTGTTGGACTCCTCTCCCGTCTCTTTACATGAGGACACACCATTTCCCTTGCGCTGGATTGTCCGAGCATTAGCCCAGCGTCCAAGCTAGCTCCTCCGGCTCTCACCTGCGCTCTATCCAAGAGTGAACCAACAAGACGTGTACCGCACAGCGAGAGGTGGCAGGTGGAGCCGGATGAACTGTGGGATTTGCGAGTCCCGTGGGTAAAGTGGAACGGCAGGAGAGAGTTGGGAGAAAAGTTGTGTGGATCAGATGGAGCTGTCAAGCGGAGGGGGGAGATGAGAGAGCCTGCAGGGAGAGGGGCGAGTAAGGCAGGGGGGCGCAGACAGGAGAGCTTAGAGTCAGGATCAGGGCTGTTTTACAGGAAACTGTCAAAGGTAGTGCAGAAAGAGTGCGACCGGAGAGTCAATGAGGTGAAGAAATGGAAAAGGCTTTAACGCTAAATAATTCCCACAAAGATTAGAGACTGAAAGTAGGTTACTTTTGAAATTGGGGGTGTTTTTTGTGTTGAAACAGATTTTAAACAATTGGTTGCGCTTGGTTTCTTTCCGTACTAAGTCTTTGTGTATCTTTCTATATACATTTTCACCAATAATGATTAAAATAATAAACTATCTAAATAAAAGCTTGGTCCCATCAGCACCACTGATCAAATTTAACTCACATATAACACTAGTATTTATTATATCAAATATACAATATTTTATCATCCTTTTTAATTATTAAATACAATATACATGATTATGAAAATTATAAATATTAATAATATATGTATATATGGTGATGATGACGTTATGATTAGTAAAGGGTGTTTAAAGGCATATAAGGTATTAAGAAATCAAGAATATGAACTCATTATACATACACTATGAAGTGCTTAATTAATGTTATAACTGTAAAGATACCAGTGACGGAGCGACGCTTTAGAAACCACATAATTTAAGTTAATTAAGCTAGATTAATAAATAGGGGGTTGGAGTTTAAAAGTCTTATCTTCTTCCCACTCCTTTTTGAGCTGACTTTTTTTTAAATAAAACAAAACATACTGAATATGTATTGTATTGTTTTTGTTTTTTTCTGTTTTGTTGTTGCTATTTGTTCTTGTCTGCCATGGCTCATTCATTCAAAATGGTGATTTACTGTCTTGTAAATGAATATTGTTTACGATTCCTAGTTTATTTGTTATTGTTTATTTGCCTTCAGCCCCAAGTGTTTATGGCTCTCCGTTCTGTGTCTGGATCTGTGTGAATGAACTGTGAAGCACGACTGTGGCTGAGTGGTTAGCACTGTCGCTGGGTTCGAATCTCAAGCAAAACAGGGCCTTTCTGAGTGGAGTTTGCATGTTCTCCCTGTGTCTGCGTAGGTTTCCTCTGGGTGCTCTGGTTTCCTCTTCCACTAAAAACATGTACAATAGGTCTGAATGTAACGAGTGAATGGATGGTTTTGGTCAGAGGCTTTGATGGTCCAGTGTGTTCAGTGTCTGTGATGGGAGACCTCTGGGAACAGCAGGTGCCACAGTGGGGTGGCTGTAAAGTGCCAAACTGTTGTTGTGTCCTTAGGCAAGACACTTCACCCACATTGTCTAGAATGAGTCTGGTGTGTGTGAATGGTCTGTGGTGGTGGGAGGGGCCGATGGCACAGACTGGTTGCCTCGCGATTCTATCAGTGTGCCCCAGGGCAGCTGTGGCTACAGTAGTTGTTTATCACCACCGTGTTTGGAGAGAATGAATAATGACATGTGAAGTCTTTGAGTGTCCAAAAAGCACAATATTAAAACCAATGCATTAATATTATTACTATATCCTATTGAAGTCATTTCAAACAGTTGGGCCACTTTCTTCACAATATACAGTAAAATTATTATATCCTTGGTCTAAGAGGTCCATGAGCACGTGCCCTGACATGCTGCAATCTCACTCCTTGCCGGTGGTGGGGGTGTACCTGGAAAGAGAATTATCCAATGCTTTTGTATGTCGTCGTATTTCCTCTTTACAGGATGGTCGCTCTTGGTCCAAAAGTGGGTCTTGGTCCAAAAGTGGGTCTTGGTCCAAAACAAAAGTGGGTCTTGGTCCAAAAGTGGGTCCTGGTCCAAAACAAAAGTGGGTCTTGGTCCAAAAGTCGCTCTTGGTCCAAAAGTCGCTCTTGGTCCCCTCCGATTCTGTCGATGCTAAGGGGAATATTTTTTGTTTTTTTGAACCAGTCTAGTTTAGCCGCTGTGGACTTTTGAATGCACTCGTTAAATAATGAAGCTAATATCCTGCCATGCATCCATTTTGAAATAGCACATTAGTTTCAACGACAGAGATAGGCGTCACTACATCTGTGAATATTTACAGTCTATGCTGTATTCTAAAGTTCATGTCACACAAATCCCAAATCTGTATCATTAAATTGCCTTTTAAGATCCCAAACGTTCCACATATCCAGATCTCCAGGACAACACAACATGACATATGAGCCGTGTTAAACGTGTTCCTACATGTCGCCCCCTCTCTCGTCCCGGGAGCCTGGGAAACTGGTGTTAAATTACGCAGAAAGAGGTAGCGGGCCCCTGTCAGGCTGCTCTGTGGCCCCATGCGGAGTGCGGTGGACGGACGTGGCAGTGGCCTGTGCCCCCCGGAGAGCCGTGTCAGACCTTATGACCGCATTGTTCAGCCACGCACACTTGCTCATGCCCCACGACGGGAGGGAGATTACAGCCAGGCAAAGAGCCAGAGGACTTTCCCAGGTCCTCCGCTTCACTTTGTCTCCGGAGCCGTCGATGTGTCCGCTGCAGTTTGGGAACATTTAAACCATGATCTACTCCAGCAGCAGAAGCACAGCAGCGGAGTCTTCGGCTAAACCAGGACGTCGTATAGTGAAACACTGCTTTTTTGACCATTTGATGATCTTGTAGTTGGGTGATATTGATGGTATTGAAGATCCCGAGGACATTAGTTTTATGTGATTTATTTGCCAGTTATTATTTTTCATGAATTGCCTGATTATAATGTTTTTTTATGACTATTTTTATGTATTTTAAAGCCGTTTTTGTTTTGTTCAGCACTTTTAGTTTGATTAAAAAATATATATATTTATTATACGGCTCCTCACAGCAGCACTAGAATGCTCCATTGATTTGAATGTAATTTCAAAACGTTCTACCGGTCATTATTTTCTATAACGGACCTCTCAAAACAATAATGACCGCTGCCCTTTGGCAACGCACTCTGTGCTTGTATTTCAAATGCGTGGATAACTCGGCAAGTAGTTACGGCCACTCCTGAGCTAGCCACGCTCAATCAACACACTTAAATGTTAATCGGAGAATACTTATACATATACATTCTTCACACACGTGCACGGAAACTTTCAGAATTTTCTGGTCTTGTCTTCATGACAAAAATACTATTTCTCTGCGTCAAAAAGCGATCGTGAAAAACCCGGAAGTAGTTCTGGCCGCTCAATAAACGCAAATGCCAATCAATCAACGCAATGAAATGTTTATCGGAGAGTGAATTATACATATCCAGTCTTAATACAAGTGCACGGAAGTTTTCAGAATTTTCCGTTTACGTTTTCATGACAAAAACACTGATGTAATGCGAGAAAAGGCGATCCCGAAAAACCCGGAAGTAGATACCGGCACATTTTAAGATACCGGCACATTTTCGGACACATTTGCAGAGGATCGAATTATGGATTTAGGTTAGGTTTATGTATGGGTCACTCACCGCTGATGTTCAGGATTCTGTGTTCAGTTTTCATGCAGTTCCAGAGAGTTCTAGTTTGGAAGTTGCCAGCCTAACTGTTGCTAGCATAGCCACAATTGTCAAAGCCACACTGCCTGCCCGCGGTTGCCGAGCAACGGGAAAACTTTTTGGGACTACTTTATTTGTTGTCATTAAATAAACTTTTGGCATTCATAAAAGTGATCTGAAGTTTATTTTGTGTGTTAAGTTGGTACAAAGCAGTATAATAAGCGGGATAATGTATAGCATACAGGTCATTATCGGAAAATAAGTACCTTCAGGGCGGAAGCGGACCCTTTGCCCTGTCGGTACTTATCATCCGATAATGACCTGTATGCTATACATTATCCCTTACATAATGCCTAGAATGATTATACTCAGGAAGGATTCAGTATTTTGTATTTTAAATGAGGTCATGAGGTGAGACACAGGTACATATAGACAGAGACACTGGTACATATAGACACAGAGACACAGGTACATATAGACAGAGACACAGGTACATATAGACACACAGAGAGACACAGGTACATATAGACACAGAGAGACACAGGTACAAATAGACACAGAGACACAGGTACATATAGACACAGAGAGACACAGGTACATATAGACACAGGTACATATAGACACAGAGACACAGGTACATATAGACACACAGGTACATATACAGTAGACACAGAGAGACACAGGTACATATAGGCAAGGCAAGGCAGGGCAAGTTTATTTATATAGCACAATTCATACACAAGGCAACTCAAAGTGCTGAACAAGATAGCATTAAAATCATAAATAATCACAGAACATTAAAAAGAAAGATAAAAATATAAAATCCCTCAGTTGTATGCACAGCTAAACAGCACAGTTTTTAACCTGGTTTTAAACATTGTCATTGAGGAGGCCTGTCTCACATCTTCAGGAAGATTGTTCCAGATTTTAGCAGCATGAATCTGAAAAGCAGCCTCCCCATGTTTAGTTCTGACTCTGGGCACTAACAGGAGTCCAGTCCCTGTGCTCCTCAGAGTCCCAGCAGGAGTCCAGTCCCTGTGCTCCTCAGAGTCCCAGCAGGAGTCCAGTCCCTGTGCTCCTCAGAGTCCGGGCTGGTTCATATGGGACTAACATGTCACTAATATATTTTGGTGCGAGGCCATGGAGAGACTTGTAACAAGCAGAGCTGTTTTAAAGTCTATTCTCTGAGCCACAGGAAGCCAGTGCAGAGACCTGAGGACCGGACTAATGTGGTCGTACTTCCTGGTTCTAGTCAGGACTAATGTGGTCGTACTTCCTGGTTCTAGTCAAGACTCGAGCTGCTGCATTTTGAATGTACTGCAGCTGTTTTACAGCCTGTTTGGACAGACCTGTGAGCAGGCCATTGCAGTAGTCTAACCTACTGGAGACAAAAGCATGGATAAGAATCTCCAAGTCTGCTTTAGACACTATGTTTTTGATCCTGGCAATGTTTTTTAGATGGTAAAAAGCTGCTGATGTTACTGATTTGATGTGGCTATTAAAATTTAAGTCTGAGTCCAGTATTACCCCTAGATTTCTGACCTTGTTTGAAGGTTTTAGGGAGAGAGACTGGAGGTGACAGATGACGCTCTCTCTTTGTTTCTGGGGACCAAAGACAATCATTTCAGTTTTGTCTGCGTTTAGCTGAAGGAAGTTGTTTTGCATCCACTCACTGATCTGTTGGATACAGTGAAGGAGTGAGTCCACTGGTCCATGTTCTCCTGCAGTCAGTGAGACATAGATCTGAGTGTCGTCTGCATAGTTTCTGCGTATTAACTGACCTAACGGCAGCATGTAGAGATTGAACAGAAGAGGTCCCAGGATCGACCCCTGTGGTACTCCACAGGTCAGGGCCATATGATCTGAGACACAGTTTCCAATCTCCACAAAGTACTTCCTGTCTTCAAGGTAAGACCTAAACCAACTTAGGGCGGTGCCAGCGACGCCAACCCAGTCCTCTAGTCTCTGTAAGAGGATCTCATGGTCGACAGTGTCAAAGGCAGCACTCAGATCTAACAAGATTAAGATTGAGACTTTGCCTGCGTCAGTGTTCAGCCGGATATCGTTTGTAACCTTAACGAGAGCAGTCTCAGTGCTGTGGTGGGGTCTAAAGCCGGACTGAAACATATCAAATGAGTTGTTGATTATAAGAAATCTATTTAGCTGTTGGTAGACAACTTTTTCAAGGACTTTCCCCATAAATGGCAGATTTGAGATGGGACGATAGTTGTTAAGTACCGTAGCATCCAGGCTGCTCTTTTTTAGCAGGGGCCTGATGACTGCAGTTTTCAGGGCCTTTGGGAATATTCCAGAATGAAGGGACATGTTTACTATCTGTGTGATAGACATATAGACACAGAGACACAGGTACATATAGACACAGAGAGACACAGGTACATATAGACACAGAGGGACACAGGTACATATAGACACACAGAGACACAGGTACATATAGACACAGAGGGACACAGGTACATATAGACACAGAGACACAGGTACATATAGGTATATATAGACACAGATACATATAGACACAGGTACATATAGACACAGAGGGACACAGGTACATATAGACACAGACAGTAAAACTAAAAACAAAACCACAGAGAACTAAAGTCAAAATAAAACCAAAATACAAAATCTCACTAAATCCACACCTGACACAGATCAACTCCAGCTCTAGAACAGCAGACAGATGTGGACGTGGACCTCCTGCAGAGTGCTCCTCTCTGGCTCTGAAAACGGCCCTCAGCTTGGAGCAAAAATGTTTTTTTGCCTCTGATGTATTGCCTCTTTGACATCGCTGCTTTAAATCTTTGGCTTCCATGTGTTTGTTATTATTGTATTTACTGTTTTTGAACTGTTAGATTCTCAGATCTGTTTCTTTAGAGAGGCTCTTACTGTTGTTATTTAGATGCAATACTAACATACATTAGATCAGAAATGCCAAATGTGAACACAAAGGGTTCAGATGTACTGCATTGTTCTGTGACAAACCTCCCACAGCAGTAAATATAATCTCAGACGTGTTAAAGCAACAGGATTATTCACTTTACTGATCGGTATTGTTCTCATTTTGACTTTTTTGTGCAGCCAGATTTGATGCGTCGCACAAGTGGAACCGTTTTTGCAGCACTTGATGTAAAGCCTGATGCGTTCTGGCAGTCTGCATGTTCTGTGACACTTCAGGGGTTACAAATCGGATTAATAAACGCTTAATTACTTTAAAAGGAAATTCCTCTGACTTTAATTGCATATTAATCAGTGCATATCGTTGCCTTTTAGTCACACTTAATTACCGTGCTTTTCCGCCTCTTGGCTTCAGAAGGGTACGGCACTTCGGCTTTTCTGCACTGTCGAATCCAAACCTTTTTGTCTAATAGGTTTTATCGCTCGCCCATCGTACTTTTTAAGTAAGTAAGTAATCTTTATTTATATACCGCCTTTCACAGACCAGAGTCACAAAGCGGTTTACAATTGTTATTTTTGGGCACTTGTCCTCTCACTCCTCACAGAGATGGGAGGGGCCAGTACAGGAGGCACATGCCAGAACTATTGGACATGTTTTTAGTGGTAGGGGAAACCGGAGCACCCCGAGGAAACCTACACAGACACGGAAAGAACATGCAAACTTCACTCAGAAAGGCCCTGGTCCAACCGGGATTCGAACCCAGGACCTTCTTGCTGAGAGGCGAGAGTGCTATCCACTCAGACACCCTGCCGCCCTGTCCTTCTCGTCCAGTTTTACGGCATTTCGAAGACCTGTCTTTATTGTAGTCTAAATTGTTTATTTTTTGACTTTTATCAACACTTATGGACATTGGTCATCTGCCTTTTAAGGACCAAAACTAATGTGTTTCTGTTTTCTTGTGTTTGAACGGTTTGATTCTCTGATCTGAGTTGGCGAATTCTACGGTTGCCTACAGTCCACTAAAAGACATCTGTTGTGATACAAGAAGAAGAATTGAAAAAAGGAGAAGAAGAAGAAGATAATTGTTTATTCCTCCCACAGTGGGGACATTTCAGTTTGATGGATACACACATCAA